TTACTTTTACTTTACTTTTACTTTACTTTTACTTTACTTTTACTTTATTGTCATTGCACCTCATACCATGAAATTAAATGCCATCTTCAATGTACATTATAACTATACAAAATGAAACACAAATACCTATCCTTCACACTCCACACATTGAATTGAAAACCCCAAATGTTGTATTCATATTGCACTATACAGGAGATAATATACATTATATATTATATATAATATATAATTATATATAGGAGATAATATACACTATACAGGAGATATACGTGCATAAGCGCACCAACGTGCCTACCGTCCCTGTCCTATTGTTTCTCTTATTCTTTTATTTTTCTTATATGTACCCATTTCATGTATTCACAACTATGTATACATTTATACTTATTATCTTGTAAACAATTGGCAAATCAAATAAATCAAATAAATAAATAGAATTCAGTATAGTTCCTGCCCTGGGATAGAAGCTGTTTTTCAGCCTATTTGTCCGTGTTTTTATTATTATCCTGTACCGGCTGCCAGATGGTAATAGTTCAAAAAAAGGGTTCCCAGGATGAGATGGATCTTTAATAAGAATGTTTTGAACTTTCTTAAGGCAGTGGGAGCTCTAAAGTTTAGTTTATTGTCATTGCACCTTGTACAACGAAATCAAACACCATCTTCAGTGGTGCGCATCATGACCATGACCATGAAAATAAATACAAACACACATTCTTCACCCTTCACACATTGAACTGAAAATCCCCGACACCACACCAACACTGCACTATACAGCAGAATTCAAAAGAGCTACTGCCCTGGGAGAGAAGCTGTTTTTCAGCCTATCTGTCCTTATTTTTATTATTATCCTGTACCGTCTGCCAGATGGTAATAGTTCAAAAAAAGGGTTCCCAGGATGAGATGGATCTTTGAGGATGTTTTGAACTTTCTTAAGGCAGCGGGAGCTATAAAGCTTTTCCAAAGAGGGGAGAGGGCAACCCAGGATCCTCTGGGCAATGACGTTAACCCTCTGGAGTGCTTTCCTATCTGCCCCAGTGCAATTGGCAAACCATACAGAGGTGCAGTAAGTTAAGATACTCTCTCTGGTGCAGCGGCAGAAGGTCAACAGCAGTTTTCCATTCAGTTGTTTCCTGAGAAGTCTCAGGTAGTATAATCTCTGCTGGGCCCCTTTGACCAGGGCTGCAATGTGAGCCCCCCCAGGTCATGTCCTCTTTTAGGGCAACACCCAGAAACTTAAAACTGCCCACTTGCTCCCCTCGGTCTCCATCGATAAGCAAGGGCTGGATGTCTCATCTGTTCCTTCTATAATCCCTCACTCTTGCAGAGTCCTATCGATTGGCCTAATAGTAATCTTCGCTCTTGCAGCTGGATCTCAAACAACACATTGCCCAGAAGCTGCTGGCCTTGAAAACCCGGCGTTACCAGCCCGGCAGGGCACCCCACAGCTGGGCGCACGAGATTGACAGCTGTGCCATCTGCCTAGACCAGTTTCAGAAGAATCAGGTAAGACTCGGGATAAAAATCGTGGCTGCGGCCAATTCCTCCAATGCACATCCGCCTTTTGCTTCTAAATGCACTTAATCCATTGTCACCCTTACCCTGGTTTTCCCCTCCACCCCCTGGGGGTATCGTAATTCGTATTCTCCAATGGGATACATCCATAGCCCAGAGTCATCCATCCCGTTCTCCAGTTAGATTTTTGCAAAGCAGAAACTTCAGTCACCTACTTATTATCTTTGAAAACATGTATGGAATGCAGTTTTGATTTCCAGGCTGCCGTACTGCTCTTTCCCCCCCCCCCTTCCTTTCTGTTAGCAACTCTAAAACGACCATAGAAATATTTTATGAAGTTGACATTAGGTGGACCCTCCTGCCAACTCCTGAGTAGATCTTGACTTGCCCCAACAGTGTCTCCGGATCCTACCCTGCCTGCACGAATTTCACCGGGACTGTGTAGACCCCTGGCTCCTCTTGCAACAGACTTGCCCGCTCTGTAAACACAACGTTCTCGGTAAGAGCCCGCCTTGCTTTCCAAAATTCAGAGGCAGAAGCGGGAGTAATACATGGGTGTCTTAATTTGGTCAGATGTGATAAATGTTTGCTTTCATGTCCGTTTGCTTGTTTTAAACCTGGGTAACTTGAAAGTGGCGTGGACTTCAACTCCCAGAATTCCCCCCCACCATCCAGCAGGCGCTCGGTATTCTGGGAATTGAAGCCCCAACCACCTTTCAAACTGCTCGGCCTGGGAAAACTGCACTGGCCTGCAAGACCCCAGGTGAGAGTGAGTGAACAAGCAAGCAAGCACGATTGTCGAGTTGTTTTGCAGTTCCCCCCAACCTCTGGCTCCGTGGCTAAGACGCTGAGCTTGTCGATCAGAAAAAGTCGGCGGTTCGAATCCCTAGCACCGCATCACGGAGTGAGCTCCCGTTCCTTGTCCCAGCTTCTGCCAATCTGTAAATTTTCATTTTTCATCGTATTTTATTCCAGTTTCATTTGAAATCGTATTTTATTCAATTGCATTTTTAATTGTTTTTAATCAGATTTTAGTAATAATTTGTGTCTGGAACGCTGCACTTTGACGTGGCCCCAGGGCTAATGAAATAAAGTAAACCGAACTTAATGTGTAAGAGAAGGAATGGCAGAACCTGGAGACAGAGTTAAAAGAGGAATCGTCCTAGAATCCCTGCGTAATCACCAAGGAACCAACTCCAACTTCCCTTGAATCCCATTGACCTTGGTCTAACTCTTAAGTGCTTAGCCACTCTGGATGCGGTGGCTCAGCGGCTAAGACGCTGAGCTTGTTGATCCGAAAGGTCGGCAGTTCGGCGGTTCGAATCCCCAGCGCCGCGTCACGGAGTGAGCTCCCGTTGCTTGTCCCAGCTTCTGCCAACCTAGCAGTTCGAAAGCACGTAAAAAATGCAAGTAGAAAAATAGGGACCATCTTTGGTGGGGAAGGGAACAGCGTTCCATGCGCCTTCGAAGGCGTTTAGTCCTGCCGGCCACATGACCACGAAGACGTCTTCGGACAGTGTTGGCTCTTTGGCTTTGCAACGGAGGTGAGCGCCGTCCCCTAGAGCCAGAAATGATTAGCACGTCTAGGGGAACCTTTACCTTACCATCAAGAGTACAGCTGTGGAGGTGCCTGGAGTTGGGAGGGGCAGGCTTCACTGCCAGATGTGCGGCTGCTGGCTCGGATAGCACTCTGCGTGCTTCAAGGAAACCTTTGGGCTACCCCAGGAGTTCTTGGGTTTGGCTCCAGATTTATGAAGCTCTTTTCTATCAGCCTTGCATCCTGAAATGTTTGTTGATTTAGGCGGCCAACCAAGGGCTAAAATCAGCAATAAGAGGCACTGGGATTTGTAGGACAACACAGATGTTATGGCCAATGACCAGACAGATCCAACACTTTTCTGGCCAACCCTAGAAGGGTTTCCTGCCCTTCTAACACAAAAAAAAATCCTTTTCTTCTTCTTCTTTTGTCTTCCTTTCAGGAAACTGTTGCTGAGACAGGTAGCAAGAGCCTTCCAAGAAGCCATCCTATAGAGAGCAACATTTCCCAAGTTTTGGCAGCTTTTAAGATATACGGACTTCCAATTCCCAGAATTCCCCAGCCGTCTCTCCGAGAATCCTGGGAGTTGAAGGGCACACATCTTAAAAGCCGGCAAGCTTGAGAAACATTGCCCTTGAGTTTTGGACCGTTTCTGGGGTTGCTTTGAGCGGAGAAGCAGCTGTGCTGTCTACGCTCTGGGCCCCACCAGGACAGGAACTACAGGAGCAGGTGTAAATAATGCGTTCATCATCATTCCTTCTGGCTTCGTTTGTGCATCCTCTCCTGCCACCCCCGGACTGAAATCCACTCCCTTTTCGGTGTGTTGCTCGCCGGACATTTTTGTGCAGCTTGGATCTGACCTGGCGGGGGGAACCAGACCTTCTGGGAACCCACCTTGGGGGTTTCATTTCGTGAAGCAATGAAGGGCTGACAACACATGAGGCTTCCGACGAAACCCCCCCCCCTTTTTTTTTTGGAGGGGGGGAACATTTGCAAAGGAAAAACGAGATTTTAGCCGGTGGGACGGGATGGGGATGGAGGTTTGAAATGCTTCCTTATTTATACTAACTTATTTGAGCAAGGGCTGTGGAGGTCCTGGGATGACATCTCGGAAAGGGCTGAGATATTGCAGACTTCGTTGGGAGGTTTATAAGCCCCTTGCCCTAATTAAAAATAATTCTAGCGAACTGAAGTAAGTGCCACTGGTCCTTTTTTCTTGTCCTATTCTTTCCTTGTGCGGACATTTCCTCCTCTTTTGCAGAATCACAGAGTTGGAAGGGACCGTGGAGGTTGTCTAGTCCAACCCGCTGCCCTATACCAGTGGTGGCTAACCTTTTTGGGCTCTTGTGCCAAAAATTGTGCGCTGGAGTGCTCACATGCCAGTACCCAGAAGACAATGCGTGCCCCCACCCCACCCCCTGCATATGCGTGCACAATTCCCCACGCTGCCCCCACCACGCCCCCTTACCTGCACTGCACCTCACAGCTGATGTTGGGCCGGTTTGAGGCCTTTTTCAGCCTCCCAGAAGCTTGAAAAAAATCCTCTGCAGGCCAAATAATAGGCCCGTTTCATCACTTCCAGTATTACAGGAAGTGATGAAATGGGCCTATTATTCGTCCTGCAAACCCTGCAGAGGCTTTTTTTTTCAAGCCTCTGGGAGGCTGAGAAATGCCTCAAACTGGCCAAAAATGAGCTGTGAGGCGCGCGCATGTGCAGTGAGGTAAGTTTGCCTGCAGTTTGTGTGCCGGCACAAATGGCTCTGCGTGGGATGAGCTGGGGCGGAGCTGAGCTGGGCTCACAGGCTCACAGAGAGGGCTCTGCATGCCATAGGTTCGCCATTATGGGGGTCACTTGGCCTCGCCCACCCACCCCTGCCCTGCCCTAGTCTGTCCTTTATTCTTGTGTGTTGCTGCGCCTCAGCTATCCTACTCACCGGCGCTGCCGTAGAAGTTAAAGTATTAGAGCTGAAAATAGGCGGTTTTCAACTCGCGCACTCATCCAACCAGTTGTTACACCGGTTGAATCCCACCACTGTCCGAGACACCCCCCCAACCCATCCCCAGTGACGCTCCTGGAGCCCTCCTTGGGCGCGCTTCCTCTTTTTATTTCTGGTGGTTGCGGGTACAGTGGCCTGGCGGGGGCTGGCGGCCCTTCCCTTTGGCCTGGGCGTAAGGGCTGCTTACGGTCTCCTTGTAGAAAAGGTTGAACGGAGCGGGGCCCAAGGGGGCCTTGAGCAGCTGGCTGCTGGAACTCCACTGGGGGGCAGGAGTGTAGGACACGGTGGGGTTGGGAGGTCTGTGTCGCGAGGCGCTTGCCGTGGGGCCGCTGTTTGTCGGAGGCCTGGAAATCTGTCCCTGAACGCCAGACGCTCCGGGGTACCTGCAAAAAAGGAGCCATCGGTGAAGCCAGCGCTTCAGAGAAGCCCGTCACCCACATTTCAAACCAAATCTCCAAAACGGATTTGGGGGGTGGGCCGCTATGGGTTCATTGGGTTCAGGAGAGCCCATAGCTAACATTTACGGCCGGTTTGGAGAACTGCCAAATCCCATCCTTGGCTGGCCCCGCCCTGCTCCTCCCCTCCCAAGAGGGAAGGCCCGTTTTGGATGCGAGGGAGGTGCAGAGCCCGCAAAGAGGCTCGGGGAGGGTGCCAAATGGGCCTTCCGGAAGTCCAAAAACGGCTTCCGGAGGGACTCCAGGGCTCAGGGGAGGCTGTTTTCGCCCTCCCAGTGGCCAGGGGGGAGCCTCCAGACCCTTGGAAGGGCAAAAACAGCCTCCCCGGGGCTGTGGAGGCCCACCGGAAGCCAGAAACAGGACATTACAGTAGGCCACGCCTACCATGGCCACACCCACCTAGCAACCGGGCCGCAAACCCGTTGCTGAAATTTTTAAATCCCACCCCTGAATGGATGGATCCCTTTGGGGCCAGCCCACTCACCCCACGGGAGGCGGCATCGCGCTGTCTTGAAGCCCCGGTTTTTCAGCCGACCGGATCCACAGCTGGGTTGGAAGGACAAACTACGGAGAGAGGAATTCCCTATTAGGCGTCAGTATCCTAGGAGACGGAAGGAAGGGCGTTTCTATTGACGCTATCCACGGAGTGGCGACGGATGCTTCTGGGTGTTGTGGTTAGCCGGCAGCCGATGTGGACGGCTGAGGGAAGCGAGGACCATTAGGGAGTGGAGTGCTGCCTTCCGAGATTGGGGGGGCTGGCAGCAGCAATGAGGAAGTTCCCGAGGAGCCTGTGCCAAGTGCGCGTGTACAAAGGATTACTCGGAGAAAAGAACAATTACAGCAGCACAGGCGACTCGGGAGTAAGGCTGCAAGGTAATGGCCCCTCCCTTAAGCGATAAAAGCCAGCTATGAATCAGAAGACGTTCTTCGCAGGAAGCAAAGATGTTTTGAAACAGCCTCGTGGACATTCCAGTATCCTGAGTTTATATCTGAAGATTCTTATTTTGCAAATTATTTCTTGTCTGTTATCTTCCGGCAAGTCTCGCCCAGCTCGGCAAGGCTTGTGCTTATTACAGCTAATTATTTTGTAAAAGCATTACAGAGTTTCTGTTTCTTTTGCATTGTGTTTGATTTGTTGAAAAAGGGTGTGGGTCAGAACACTGGGTGACGATGGAGAACAGTGTTGGGGCCCTATTGGAGCCTGGTTCGGAGGAGGAGGAATTGGAGTTGAAACTCTGGGCCGTCCGACAGAGAGATGGCAGGTCTCCCTTGGCATGTTTGGAGAAGCTGGTGTGTGTGTGTGTGTGTGTGTGTGTGTGTGAGGACGAGGCTGTCCCAAGTGTTGTGGTTCGACGGCAGCGGAATCGGACAGTCGGGAAGAACAAGGACCAGTCCAGGAGTCTGGGGAGGACTCGGATGAGAGTCCTGCCTCCGATGCAGAGTTGGGGCCAGGACCACCTGGGAGTGGCCACAGGGACCTATGTGAGGGGAGGACTTCAGTTACGACGGAGGAGGATTCAGGCATGTGGTGTGGGGGGGGGGGGGTTGGATTTGTAGTTTTTAGTGATCTCAAGGAAGTCTGGGATTTTCAGATTTGGGGTTCCTCCCGTTGTGCCACTTTACTCCTCAAATAAAAGAGAACTTTTGAGCGACGTCTGTCTCGGAGTTATTGGTTGGAGTGGAGGGTTGCTGGAACGGGGACAAGCACATCCATTGCCAGCAACAGACGCATTTTGCAGGAAACCAGAACTAAATGCCGGTTTTCAGCTCCCCAGCCCCCCCCCCCAAAAAAGGTGTTATAAATCGTGGCCACAGGGACACTGCAGCTTCCTAACAGGACGATTAAGCAGTGGAACTGCTTGCTACCAGAAGTTGTGGGAGCTCCATCGCTGGAGGTTTTTAAGAAAGAGGCTGGACTTCTCTGGAATTGGGATAGAATTGGGACCAGTGGTCTTTTTCTGGCGTCCAAGTGGCCTGGTGCCTTTGGATTGCCCCCTCCCTGTTGTGCCCTGGGCCACTGCCCCCTACCTTCTGTGTCTCCTGCTGGGCCGGCTCTTTGATTTTGGCTATCGCGTTTCGGAGACGGGCGTTCTCTTCCTCCAGAATGCTGATGCGGATGTTGTTGGCCTGCAGCTGTTTCCCCATGTCTTCCATGACGTTCCCGGAGACTGCAGGAAAAAACAACGGCAAACCACGTGTCAGCATTCCAGGGAACATCCCATCCCTGTCAGGAACTCCAAGACGAGCCTAATCTCAAAAGTACTTTTGTTATTGTTATTGTTATTTAAAAAAACAAGTTTTATTCAATTTTTCCAAAACAAAGAGAAATAAAAAAGCTGTTTTCGGTGTACAACATAATTCCAGATCACCACTTTTACATGACAATAATTATCTATCCCTTTTCTACATTCGACTTTCTATCTTGTCCATTTTTAACTTAATTCTCCAACTTTTACGTAAGAAAAGGGACAAACAAATTAATCCCGTTCGCTAATATTACTTTCATTGGGGGTTAGAAGGCGGTATTGCAGGCTGACTCTTGCCCACTGCCAGCAGTTCGATCCTGACCGGCTCAAGGTTGAAACTATGGCTCAGTCTGTGGAGAGGGGGTGAAATTAAAAGAATCGCGCTTTTTGCTCATCGCCCAGATTAAACCTCACGCGGGGAGAACTTTGGTTGGGGTCCAGATTCGATGCAGTAATAAATTAGTTTCTACAGCTTCGGTACAGGCTAGGCCTCACATAGGTTGAAAGCGCGTACCAGGAACAGAGAACATCAATCAACAAACACGTCATCATGGGCAAATAACTGGAATGTAAGCGCTGATTTGCTACTTAGTACCTTTTAAACTGACCATGTAACTGTGATTGGATGTTACGATGTGTGCACTAATATTCCTACTCATGTAACTTAATGATTGGATAGACTTCACTGCTTGTGACGTATCACTGTTGTGTTTTTTAATAAAAGAGTTTCCCCGAGCTTATGAGAGGGGCAGCTCACCCAAGATAGAACCTGCGTTGGTGTCTTTCTTGATGCATTCGACCACCCAGTGAGAAGCCTTCCTAATGCAGAGCAAAGCCGCAATTCGCGGCGCTTAAATCGGCAAGTCGCTTCAGCCCCCCCCCCCCCCCCCCCCCCCCCCCCCCCCCCCCTTCCCGGGACTTACTTTCGAACCGGGTCTCGACGGGGATGTGAAGGTCTGGGAAGAAGACCAAAAGCTTCTCCTTCTCCTTCATCTCGTGGATCAGCTCTCCCAGCTCCGAGATGGTCCTCTGCAGTTCGGAGGCAGACTGCTCCAAGGTCTGCTTCTCCTGCCTCAGTTTCTCCGTGAGCTTCTGGGTGGAGAGAGCGGTGCAGGTCACCTTGCAAGCTTTCTGAATTCTACAGCAGAAGTCCTACGGGGAGACGGAAACTAAGCCCGGCCTCGGAACTAGCGAGCGGCGGGAGGAAAGGGTAGTGGAGAGCGAGAGCATGTAGACTCGACCGGCGGTTGCAGAAGTTATCTGAGCGGTTCACGGAGTCGGCATGTTGGCCCCCACCCCCACAACAATCCGGGTCCTCGTTTTACCGACCGCGGAAGGACGGAAGGCTGAGTCGACTTTGAGCCGGTCAGGATTGAACTGCTGGCAGTGAGCAGAGTCAGCCTGCAATACTGCCTTCTAACCACAAGGAAGGAAGGAAGGAAGGAAGGAAGGAAGGAAGGAAGGAAGGAAGGAAGGAAGGAAGGAAGGAAGGGGAAAAGGAAGAGCAAAGCAATAGCACTTGGGATTTATATACTGCTGGGATTATATACTGCCCTCTCTAAGCAGTTTATAGAGTCAGCCTCTTGCCCCCAACAATCTGGGTTCTCATTTTATTGATCTTGGAAGGATGGAAGGCTGAGTCAATCTTGAACTGGTCAGGATTGAACTCCTGGCAGTCGGCAGAGCTAGCCTGCAATACTGCCTTCTAACCACTGGGAAGGAAGGAAGGAAGGAACACAAGAGAAAAAGAAGAGCAAAGCTATAGCGATAGCACTTATTAGACTTATAGACCGCTTCACAGGGCTTTCCAGCCCTCTCTAAGCGGTTTACAGAGTCAGCCTTTTGCCCCCAAGCAATCTGGTTCTTCCCATTTTACCGACCTCAGAAGGACGGAAGGCTGAGTCAACCTTGAGCCGGTCAGGATCGAACTCCTGGCAGTCGGCAGAGTTAGCCTGCAGTACAGGTATAACGCCCAATTTACGACCATAGTTCCTACCCCACTGCCTTTCCCCAGACCTTCTGGGCCTCCAGCCGGCCTTGCATCTCCCACTTTTCTTCCTGGATCTCCTTCAGCCTCTCTCTCATCATCTGGTTGTCATCTTCCTCTTCGGCCACGGTGGACTTCAGCTGCTCGCATTCTTGGTCCAGGCTGTCCAGCTGCTGCATCAGATTCTGTTGCTTGGCCTGGAGGGACTGCAGGGAGAGATGGAAAGGTCGTAGGATGGCGCTGAAATGCCAGTAAAAGTTTAAAAAAATAGTAATAATAATGCCCATCTTCAATTGGTCAGCTAAGGGTTTCTGGCTGACTGTGAGCTTCCAAGAAAGCACAACAGCGCGGATTATATTCACACCACATTGGAAAAAAATGAAGAAACGCCACGAGATGAAGAGATAATGAAGAAGATACTGGACTGTGCATAAATGAAGAGGAAAGAAAGGAAGAAAGAAGGAAGGAAGGAAGGAAGGAAGGAAGGAAGGAAGGAAGGAAGGAAGGAAGGAAAGAAAGAAAGAAAGAAAGAAAGAAAGAAAGAAAGAAAGAAAGAAAGAAAGAAAGAAAGAAAGAA